ATGGGGTGTGTGTGTGTGGACATTGAGCGTGACCACAACTTGGTTGCACACCAACTGGGTAGAGGGTTGCTGCGCGAGCCACACGCAACAAAAAGCGTCGTGTGCGCGTTTGATAGAATGATTTGCTGCAGCCTTCATTCGTAGAGCATGCGGTAGCCACGGGCGAATGAGCGTTGCCAGTATGATATGCCCTCTCTGGAATACCAGCGCTGCTCCCCTCGTCCCCCTTGAACATCTCGGACCCGTACCATTCAACACTCGGCGCAGCGAATCCAGCCTCACACAACTCCAACGCAACCGGGCCATTTGTTCGCTACAACACCGCACAGTACCACGACAGTAGCTAGTAAGGTAGTCAAATAAACCATTTGCGCAAAGGCCACACCACAATGCCTCTTTTCTCCCCAACACTGCAACCCTTTCTTTGCCCTGCCGCTCTCTAACCTTTACCCCCCCCCCGACGCTTCTTTTCCTCCCTCCCGCAGCACGCGCGGGAACTCGAAGAAAGAAAGAAAAGGAAAGCACAGTAATTTCTCCGAACACCAACCATGTCCTACCCGTCGTACGACAACGCGAGCCTGGTAAGCACTTGCAGTCTTTTGCTGGGCGGTTCAAGAAATGAGACTTGGATCGTGTACAAGAAGGACTTTCCAACGAGCGGAGAATTAACTCGAAGAGCTAAAACTAATTCTGGGATTTGATTCAAACAGCCCACTCTCCCTCCTACCCCCTCTCCCTCCCGCACAACCCGCTGCTCCAAATCCTGCTCGACGCTCCCCTGCATCGCAGGCCCCTCATCCCATCACCACCAGGACCAGCACCGACGCACCCCCGAACCGGGTTCTTCGTCCACGCCCTCGACGGTAACGCTGAACTCGTCAAGCCTCCTCCCCACGCCCTCGACCTTCTCGCTGTACACGTGCTCCGCGTCATCGCCGCCATCGACGCACTCTGCGCCGCTGTCGCACTCGCACAAGACGCTGCGCCGCATTCTGCCGCACGAATACGAATTGGCGTATGCACGGCTCAACGGGTCCGACGACGTGCATGTGCTGGGGCACAGCTGTGCGGGCGGAAAGGGAAAGGGCAAGATGATGGTGGTGGGCGATGAGGTGCATGCTGATGGCACGCAGAGCGAGGTGCTGCAGTGGAGGGGCGCCGGCGCGCATAGTGTGCTCGGGTCACATGCTATGAATTATACGGGTTCGAGGAAGATGTGGAGTCATGATGTTGTGTAAGTGTGTGCTGTGTTACTTTTCTTGTCTTCTTTGTGGCCAACGTTTTGCCTGCAATGTTTTGTTTGGTCGGTGGCGGTAATATACCGTCCATACTAGTCTGATATTTGTTTGCCGTTGTACGTTTTTTTCTTAGTGTCTCGATATTTGCTGGTTTAGTTTTTTTCATTGGTCGGAATACTTTGTCAATTCTCTCCCTTTTTCATTGATTTTTCTGATTTTCGGGCCAAGTTGCAAGCGTACATCTGCCCAACCTCGACATATGTGTACAACGCTAACTCGTGCATTTTTCTTCCTCCACGACAGCCAGAAAATGCGCCAAGATGCCATGTGCAACAGGGCGTATGCGGCTTCACTTCCCGCTATTCCTGCTATGCCGCAGCATCCCCTCGTAGCAGTGGGTTCTCAGCAGCAGCAGCAAAAGCGCGATAGCATGGAGCCCATGGAACCTCGTCTTCCTGCTAGTACTGCTACGTCGCAGCCACTTCCACGCCCCATGGCGGTATCCTCGAGAACAGCAGCGCAGAATGAGTCTGGAAAAGAGAAGGACAAGGAAAAGGCAGCGAGCAAGAAGAAGGCTTTCTTCAAGCGCATCTGGCATGGTCTTCGCCGCAAGTAAAAAGGATACTGTTGTTCTAGACCCAATTGTCTAGACCCTTCTGTTTATCCTTATTCTTACTGCTTCGATTTCCCTTCCCTTTTGTTGAGTACTGCCCCCTCCCAGGCCGTTCGAGACCCTTTCCCCTCGAGTATCAAACAACGCGATACTTGTATCTTTCTTCCCCGCCCTGCGCCGCCCCCAAAGCAATAATCCCTCCCAAGATTTGGAATATTAGCGGAAACTGGTCCTCTTTTCTTCTCTCCATGTCGTGGATTTTTTTTTCTCCTCGTGAAAAGGGGGGTCTAGATGCTCGTCGCTTGCACCCTTTCCATGGTCTAGATTTCTCGCTTCCATCTCTCTTACTTACTTCCTCTCCCTCACCATTGTACGGGTAGTAATCAGGGTTATGTCTGTGTGTATGAAAGAAAAAGTTGAAACATTTTTTCTTTCGCTTGCTTCTCTCTTTCGCTCTCGCTTCGAGCGCACAGAGAGCAGAGAAAAAAAGTTTTGTTTTTCTTTTTGGCTCTCTGACCCTGACTCTCTCTCCCCGTCTATTTCTCTCTGTGAGTCACAACGGGGGGGTTTCTTACAGTGCATACTAACATTCCCTATCTTACCCACCCTACTACATGTGAAGAATGTGTGGATGTGTGGGGGGGGGGGCAAGCACCAAGCAAGGATGATGTGTTGGGGTGTATTGGCCTTGGTGTGGGTGTGGGTGCGGATGTACGTGTCTAACAATGTCCTTCACATTTTTGATTTCGTCCATCCCATGATCAACAGTTTTTTTTAATCATGAAAATTTTGTCGGAGGTCACGGAGATGTGCAGCATGCATGCTCTGTGACATGGGCCACCATGCGGAAAGTTGGTTGCATATTGCACCTGTCTGCAAAAAAGGAGGGGGCAGAGGGGGGTTATTTCTTTCTTTCTTCTTCTTCTTGCATTAGCCGTCGTGTGCTCGAGTCGCTAAAGGTGGGTGTGCACCGGTCAGCCGCGTTTGCCATGGAAATCCTAATATGGAATCGCTGTGGCTGGTCAATGTCAAATAGGGTCTTGTTTGGCGAGACGTGTTCAGGTGACAAGGCTCAAGCAGACAACGCATGTCGTTAGCGAGAGAGGGTGATGGTGTGAACCCGAGAAGATCAGGGTGTTTAGCAGTACGAGTCCCTGATTTGACATTTATCGTGCGGAGATACACGCTGGTGGTGATTTCCATGAAGGAGGTGCCAAGGTGGGCGGCGAGGTCCGGAAATGCGCGTGGTGTGACGCTGCTGCTTTCCGGCTAATTATCGCATTCGCATGCAGCATCGTGAGCCCGTCACACCACTTTTCTGCCACCAAGACCAGCGGCCATATCAGCTTGTTGCCAACCGCACTGCCCAAGATGGCCTTGCCGTCATCCGATGAACGTGAAGCTGCCGATATAAGAAGAAAGCATTGATGCCTGGACGTCTGCCTCAACACCAAACATCTCTTCGCACCCAGCTATCCAATACTCATCGTCACAAACCGAAAAAAAAGTCTCTGCTAGCGTTTCCAAAAGCGACCTGGACTCGTAGCACAGCGAACAAAATGCGCTTCCATGTGCACATTCCATTTCCCCACTGGCACATTCGACGCCATCTGGACCAGTGGCTCGCAGACGTGGCTGAAGTATACGGCCGAGCTGCATGAGCAAGGCCAAGCTTTCTCCAAGCTTTGTGACTAGGACTTTGTTGAAGTAGGTTGGCTTCTCCTGAGGCGGTGTAAACAGGCTGCTGACGCCTCACGACAGATGATAGGAAGACGAGTGAAACCAGTCTAGGCATGCATGGATCCCGGCACATGGGGGTTTTGTAGCGTGGTGATGTTAAGTAATGGCTGTGGAGGGGTCTGGACTTTTGGGGGTGATGTGTGTTTTGATAGCCAATCAACGATCCGTCGTGAACAATGTAATATTGTACGCAATCTGGCCTTCTTCGGAGCGACTCGTTAGCGGCGTGTGATGCAATGCGCATGGTGGTTTGCAATATTTTGGACGCTCAGCGACAACCTTTGCTGTCGCATGCCAAGTTTGAGGCGGTCGACTTGAGAGAAAAGAAAAGCGGCGACTGACCCTGCGTAACATTTCCTTTTGCTGGCCGGCACTTGCAGGCTCAGGGACGCAGCAAAGTGCGACCAGGCTAGCCATCACCTGACGAAAGGGACGAGGCATGGTCACGGGCTTTTCACGGTGGTTTTGCTGGCGCTTGATTGTGCTTTTTGGACGTGGCAGGCTGTTGTTGATTTGCTTAGCGCCTCGACGGCCATGATTGTTCGACGTGGAGGGCACACGAGCAGAGCGTGTGTGGTGCATGGTTCCCCTTATCTCCACTTGCCGCAAACAGTCGGGCCGTTGGTGTTGCTGAGTGCACTACGTCACACTCGAATTGGGAATCGTTGTACGGGGCGAGAGATCTGAGCCGTACCCATTGCTGTGGGTGAATGTCAGGCATCAATTCTATTTAGGAAACGGACTGGGGGTAGATTCCTACGGCTCTATTCGCCGATCTGGGAACCAAGGCTGCACCGCGGGACTGGGTGATCCGGACCAGGGTGTCGAGTCATACAAGATGGAGAATCAGATCTGAATGGGGATTCCAACACGAGATATCGGTGGTTTTGATCGAGCCCTAGGCCGGCAAAAAGTTACCGAAGGCGACTCCTCTTAACCTTTGGGGAATTCCGTGCGGGAATCCATACTGCGGGAATTGTGGACTTGTGGACCGGGGTGAGGCAGCTGGGAACGACGCCTGAAGGTCGGCGAGCCGTGTATTGAATCAGGAATGCCACGATATTGCCCCGCAAACCGCAGCAGGAGTGAGGCCTGCACACGACCACCAATCGGCATAATTGCGAGAGTGTGTGTGTGTATCATGACGATGAAGGGGGGCACGAGTGCGACGACGGCCGCGCACAAGGCCTGGTAGATTCTGCCAAGGGGGGATAAGGGAGCGAGGGCGACGACAGTAGATGGCAGCCCCCTATGCTGAAACGAGTGGTGGCAGGGCCATTGGGCCATGTTTCGACGACGTTGCTGTGCGACAGCGTGCTGGGGGAGCAGGGCAGGCTGGGTGGTGAGGGTACGTACCAGAGGGCAGGGTAACAAGATGATTGGGACCAACGTGTTCCTGGGGTTACAGATGCAGTAAATCGGGCGAATGCAACACGATGCTTGGCCCGCCAATCTCACGCGCCAACCCCCCCGCCCAGGGTGGGGACGCTAGTGCAGGGGCGCCTCGCGGGGCTAGGCCCAGACGGACCATGGCGCGGGCGGTCAGAGGACGGTGGCTGTTCACTAAGCAGCGAGCGAGGGGCGCAAGCGAGCAGGCGACGATGCTGGCCATCTGGAGTAGGAGTAGAGTAGAATGGCGGGTTGAGGCGGCCATGGTTTGCTTGGGTCGGCTGCCGCATCAGGTGAAACATTGCCATTGTGTGCGCATGCATGCATGGTTGCGCGGCCAGGTGACGGCATGGCCGGGTGCCTGGCAGCGCGTGTTTTTGGAGGGGGAGGGGGGTGATGCGCTGGATGATCGCCCGCCGGCCTGTGAGGGTAGCAGGCGACCTAGTGGTAGTAGGGTGTAGATTGGTGGAGATGGCAGAGCGTGCCTGGGCGCGGGCCGGACTTGGTGTTCCTGCATTGGAGCCTGTCTGGGCCGGGGCATTGCAGGGCAGGGCAGGCATTCAGTCGGTCGCAAGTGGCATGGTCCCTCTGGCCCTCTGGCCCTCTGGCGTGGCTACGATGCGCTCGCTGCCATCCCGTCATCACGATCCAGGCAGGCAGGCGAATCCATCGTTCGGCGCATGGGGCGCGTTGCGCTAAGGGGCTGATTGCTTTTTGCGACAGCTGTCAAATTGCAGTCTGGCGGCCCTTGGCGGCTTTGGGCAGCTGGTTGGCTCCATGCACACGAGGGGCAGATCTCTGCTAGGCGCGCTGTCGGCGGCCGTCCAAGAGGGCAGGCGGTGTGGTTCAGCTTGGACACGCCTCTCTTTCTTTTCGACGGCGGCGAGGCTCTCACCATGCCCGCGTGTCTGTGTCTGTGTGTGCGTGTGCGTGTGCGGGTGGAGGGCAGAGGAGAGCGTCGAGGCCGCGTTCTAGGCTTCGCTGATGGACGGGGGCATGGGAGGTTTGTTTGCGCTGTGCCTGGCGATACGTGCGTACCTGGAGCGAATGAAGCGGCTGAGGCGTTTGATGGCAAGTTCCAAAAGGCGGCTGATCGGCGTGTGCGAATAGGCCTGCAGTCGAGGGGGTGAGGGCAGCCAGCCTCTTGGTTCAGCACACCAGGATCTGCCGTGCGGCCCTTGCGTCGACGGCAGCTAAAAGCAACGACGCCTGCTCAGGCCAAAGCGCCAGACACGACGGAAACGGTAGAGCCGCAGCCATGTACCACGTTTTAGGGCGCTGTCACCATCCCGGTCCCCTGGCGTCCATCGGCGACCGCGGCGCTATGGCGCTTGGTCGGGTGGCCATGATGCTGCGAGCTGCGTTAGGATATTAGGTCCTGTGTCAATATATAACACTTGGTCGCCCTAGGCTTCGACACTACTCAACACCGATAGCATCACGACAGCAGCAACACTACTACCACCACCAGTCACTACCGTCACAACACCACCACTCTCTCTACCACTACCACCACACTACTACTACTACTACTACTACTACTACTACTACTACTACTACTACTACTACTACTACTACTACCATCACTGCCACCACTGCCACCGTGGACACCAGCTACACAAACACCAACCCCACTCATTAATCAACCCACTCCCACACACAATCATGTACAAGGACCTCGGACACACCCCCAACTGGGACGTCTGCTTCCACCAAGCCCAGCTCACTGAAGAGAACCTGCGCTCGCACAGCTCAACACATGCCTCGTCACACATGTCAACACACTCCAAGGTACGCATTTGGCCCATCCCTCTTGGTATCCTTCATCGACTAACAATAAACCCAGACCGACAGTGCGTGCCACATGGTTGAGACACAACAATACTACCACTACGACATGGACTTTGACGAGTCGGACGACGAAGACGCCAGCACCTACTCCAAGCGAATGGCTCTGAGAAGAGCCGCGTCTCTCGAGGTGCTCAAGGCGTACGGCGGATGCTTTGCTTCTGGCTTCCTGGCTCTCCAAGAACCCCTCCCCGTCAGGCCGCAATCCAAGCTCAGGCGGTATGAGAGCGCCGAGGAATTTGAAATCCGACGAACTGCATCCATTGCAACATCTCTCGAGACACTGTCCGTCAGCTGCACAAGCACCACGTCCGACAGCCCACGACCCGACTCGGCCACGCTAAGCCCCGAGGAGCTGCAGCAAGCAACCAAGGGAAAGTGGAGTTGGAGGAGCATGCGGAAAAGCCGAAAGAACTCGGCAAAGAAGCTCGGAGTGTGAAGATGCACACATTTCCGGCCACCCGCCCACTCTCTTTTTTTCATTTGTCTCTGTTGTTTGATTGTCTATTAGCGAAGGCGTTGGGGGTTTACGGACAGCCCAAGACTGCCGCCAGCCATTTTCTTTTGTTTGGGGAAAAAATCACGATAGCGAGTGTGTATAGTTATAGTGGGCGGTGACAGCACCAGCCAGCTGTATAGGGTATTAAAGTAATATCTCCGAAGCAGGCTCAGCGGGCCTGCGCGGGCCATTTGAATCCATCTTGTCAGATTGCACAATTGCATGCCATGTTGCACCGTGATGCCGACGGGGGAAGACGGAAGGGCTTGGAGAGCCGGAATAGACGGTGGACATGTTGTTGCGTGGACGTGGACGTAGACGGGACGTGGGATGTGGGGGAGGAGTAGCCGGGCAGCCAGCAGGCGAGCAGAGCAGGCGAGCCAGTCACAGCGGGCGCAGTGACCCGGGACCTGACAGTTGAATTCAGGGTCGGACGGAAAAGCAACGGGCCAGAATTTTTTTAATTTTTTTTTTTTTTGCACTTTGGATTCAACGGGAAGACTGGGCCGGAGGGGGACAGATGACGATGGTGACGGCAGCAGGCCTCGGGCAGGGCCAATGGAGGGTGGACGAGGTACCTGAGGGAGCATGACGTATAGGTGGGGTTGGGCGGTTGTGGTTGCGATAGTGATAGCGCGATCAACAAAGCCGGGGCGGGCAGTGGCGAGGCGAGGCGAGGCGAGGGCAAGGGCGATGATGACGATGACGCTGCGAGACGAGACGGGCAAGAGCACATGCCCATGTGCAGAGGAAGGAAGGCGCCCAGGCACGGGGAAGCTGCGACCACGACCACGACCACGACCAGACCACGACTCTGCGCCCGCCACATGGACAAGCACCACCACAGCCAGGTGTAGATGCACCAGATGCTGCACCCACGCCGGCACGGGACATGCGAATCGTGTATGCAGTGCCGTGCCGCGCAGTGCCGCGCAGCGCAGCGCAGTGCATCTGGTGCATCCAGTGTGCGTCGAGTCGAGTCGAGTGCAGTGCACACGTCGTCGCGTGGGCGCCCCCCCCCCATCCCCGGGCGCGCCGGGCAGCGACGCACATGCCTGCTCGTGTACTGGACGCAGACTCAGCAGCCATGTTCCGGTGTCAGTGTCGGTATCTGGCCACAGTGCAGCTTCCTCACCGCCACCGGTTCTGGCTATCTGCGTATCGTGATGGCAGCAGAGAGACCCACCGCCGCTCGACGCCTGCCCGGCGGCGCTCTGGGGCATCGGCCAACCTGCCAGCCTGCCCCATCTGCCATGGTCAAAACTGGCTGCCTCCGCCCACCCCGTCTCACCCATTGCACTCGCACTCGCACTCCTCATCCCACCCTCCCAGTCCTAACTCGGCTGCATCCTACTAGCCCCGACAGCAATATCGCCGTGTGACACAACAAGGTATCCCGAGTCAGCTCCGTCTCACCCAACTCGTCCCGCCCCGCCCCCACCCCAGTCCGGCCGCGAACGAGCTGCGAGCGTCTCAGCTAACTCTGGGCAGTACCTACCTACATACGCCATAGCTCTCTCGCACACATCCACACTCGTACATCCAATCTATCCTCAACACCACCGCCCGACACCGACACCGCCCCCCTCCAACCACACTCTCCCACACCCACACCCCTCCATCTCGGCTTGCTCTACCTGGCGGCTCCGCCCTCCCTCCCCCATAGCATGAGCTCGCAACCTTCGAAAAATCGCCGAACCTCGAGTGTCATCGACCCGTACGCTGCGCCCCATATCTACTATGGCGAGAGTCACTCGCAAAAACACCCCAGGGCCCGCACCTACTCGGCTGTGAGCACTGCCTGCCCTTCATCCGCCCCATTGGCGCCCAGCCTAACACCAAGCAGAATGTAGACCAATCCTCGCGCAATGCGCCCCTTAGCGAGGGCGTCACAGCTGGCCGCCGCATCAGTCACGGTACCTAGCCCCAGCTGCCAGCCAGCCTGCACCACCACCACCACCACCACACGCCGCTGACTACGACTGCAGATGAAATCTCGCTGCAGCCCCGCCGCTTCAAGATCAACGTCGACGAGACGCTCGAGCAGCTGCTGGCCCGCGAGGACTCGGATCAAAACTACCAGATCACCATTGATGACAAGGGCCCCAAGGTAGACGCCCTGCTGCCTCTGCTCTCTCTGCATGCAACCCCAGCTGACAAGCGACACAGACGCTCTCGCTCGGCACCCTCGGCTCCAATGCCTTCAAGAAGCACGATGTTCGCGGCACCTACATGCTGTCCAACCTGCTTCAGGAGCTCACCCTCGCCAAAGACTACGGCCGCAAGACCATTGTCCTCGACGAATCGCGCCTCAACGAGAACCCCGTGAACCGTCTCAGCCGCCTCATCCAGTTCTCCTTCTGGGATGGCTTGACCCGCCGCATTGATGGCTCCAACATTGCAAAGGTCGGCGTCGACCCCAAAGACTGGACCCCCGATCCCCGTCCCCGCATATACATTCCCCAGGGCGCTCCCGAGCAGTACGAATACTACACACGCATTGCCCGCGAGCATCCAGACATGCGTCTCGAGGTCGTTCAGCTGCCACAGGACTGCGACAACGAAGCATATGTGCGCGACCTGAACAAGGCCCCTGGTCTTCTCGCCATCGCCATGGAAGAGTGGATTGACCCCGAGACCAAGAAGAAGGACTTGAGAGGCCTGCCCTTTGTGGTTCCTGGTGGCCGCTTCAACGAGGTCTACGGATGGGACAGCTACATGTGCTCGCTTGGCCTGCTTGTCAACGACCGTGTTGACCTGGTCAAGTCCATGGTGATTCATTTCTGCTTCTGTATTAAGCATTACAACAAGATTCTCAACGCCAACCGCACATACTATCTCTGCCGTTCGCAGCCGCCTTTCCTGACCGACATGGCCCTGCGCTGCTACGAACGCATCAAGCACGAACCTGGTGCGCTCGAATTCCTGCGCCAGGCCATCTTGGCTGCCATCAAGGAATACTACTCGGTCTGGATGAGCCCGCCTCGCTATGATCCCGAGACGGGTCTGTCCAGGTACCGACCTAGTGGGTTGGGAGTGCCTCCGGAGACGGAAGCCACGCACTTTGAGCACATCTTGAAGCCATATGCAGAAAAGCACGGCATGACTTTCCACGAGTTTGTCGATGCGTACAACTATCAACGGGTACACGAGCCTGAACTAGACGACTATTTCCTGCATGACCGTGCCGTGCGTGAGTCTGGTCACGACACTTCATACCGTCTTGAGAAGGTTGCTGCGGACCTCGCAGTTGTCGATATCAACGCCCTTCTATACAAGTATGAAATCGACATTGGCCGCTGCATCCGCAACCATTTTGGAGACAAGCTGGAGATTCCTGCTGAATTCTGCACTGGCGACATGAAGCCTGGCCATATTGAGAACTCGGCCGCATGGGAGCGTCGCGCTAGAAAACGCCGCGTCCAAGTCGACAAGTATCTCTGGGATGAGGAGGCCGGTATGTACTTTGACTACAACACGGTCAAGCACGAGCGTACAGGCTACGAAAGTGCCACGACTTTCTGGCCAATGTGGTCCGGACTTGCCACGCCCCGCCAGGCTAGCATTCTTGTGGAGAAGGCTTTGCCCAAGCTCGAGGCCTTTGGTGGTCTTGTATCTGGTACAGAAAAGTCGCGTGGCGAGGTTGGTCTTGACCGCCCCAACCGACAATGGGACTACCCCTTTGGATGGGCACCTCAGCAGATGCTTGCCTGGGTCGGCATGCAGCGATATGGATACGATGCTGAAGCCCAGCGATTGGCTTACCGCTGGCTCTTCATGGTTACCAAGGCTTTTGTCGACTTCAACGGTGTCGTTGTTGAAAAGTACGACGTTACAAGAAAGGTGGACCCGCACAAGGTCGAGGCTGAATACGGTAACCAAGGCAGCGACTTCAAGGGCGTTCCTCGCGAAGGGTAAGATTTCAGCTTTGTCTGTTATGAAGAGCATGACTAACGCGTCGCAGTTTCGGATGGGTCAATGCAAGTTACGTCTACGGCCTCACACTGCTCAGTGCACACCAACGTCGTGCCCTGGGTGCCCTTACCGACTGGGATACCTATGCCAAGGCTATGCAGGACCTTGGAATGATGTAAACGACAACCCTTCACACTGAGTATACTCGACGTCTTCACCACCACATGCATCAGCGTAGAATGTCTAGCGTTTGCCGTGCTTGTTTGTTCGTCTTTGGTTCGGCGGCAGAATACAATTTGGTTCGGTGCTCATGCTCGATAACGTAGCCACTGAGTTTGCTTGTCATGGTAATAGGATAGGTTTCTCGGAATGGCAGCCGGCGCAGGATCAACCTTGTCTTCTTCTTCTTTCCCCCAGTGGTAGCCCATCTGCTCAACGTCGCCTATACCTCAGAGTCGAATAAATCCTTTGATCACATTCGTCTCTCTCTCTCTCTCTCTCTGTCTTTATAGATTTGATTACGAGTCGATATCCTTTACACACGCTTGCAACTTGATATGCTTGATAGTCATATTCCCATTCCCATTTCCATTCCCATTCACAATTACAGCTCGAAACACCACATGACATCACATGACACTTATTTTGCAGGCAAAGCTTTTCTTCTCAGCCATGTCCACATACATGTCCATACATAGATAGTATTGACTCTATCCATCCATCCATCCATCCATCCATCCATCCATCCATCCATCAAAAATTGTAGTTGAATACTACACACACCTCCTCCTCCCCCTCTCCTCTTCCCAAGACCATTCATAAAGCCTAGAAAAGAAAAGAAAAATTCCCCAGCCATGCTCAATACCCTGTTTGTAATGTATATATATATATATATATATATATATCATGCCTCGTGTTGAATGCATCCCTTAGTTGTTGTTGTTGTTGTTGAAAGACCCTTCTAGCCACCCGATTGCTCCTTCGCTTCCCTTTTTTGTGATTTGATAAAGACGCCGATTTGAGAAAGAGGAAGATGGAAAGAAAGATGGAAAGAGAAAGGTATAATGATATGAGAAGAAGAAAGAAAAAAACAAAAAAGAAGAAGAAGAAGGAGAAGAAGAAGAAGAAGAAGAAGAAGAAAACGCCCAATGGAAAACCCCATCATTCATTTCATGTTTCCATGTTCCCATAACTGACAAAAACTCTACCTAAAAAAAAAGCTTGTTGAATGCTTTTTTTTTCTCTGAACCCGGTGGGAAGAAAAAAACACACATCCTAATCCTTCACATGGTGTGATTTATGGTGTGTAGGTGGTGATGAAAGACCTAAAACATGCCGTCAATCTCGCCCGTCTCAACATCAACATCAATGTTGAGATAGCCGGGGGCCGTAGGCAGACCAGGGATAGTTTGAATGTCAGCAGCAAGCGCATACAGGTAGCCAGCGCCAGCCGCCATGCGGACGTCGCGGATGGGGACGGTGAAGCCTGTTGGGGCGCCCTTGAGGCTGGGGTCGTGCGAGAGACTGTATTGGGTTTTTGCGACGCAAATGGGGAGGTTGCCGAAGCCCTGCTTGACGTACGTGTCGACTTTCTTTTGGGCGAGCTCCGAGAACTCGACGGCCGCGGCGCCGTACATGCGCTTGGCAATAGTTTCCATGCGCTCTTGCACGCTGCCGCTCGATGTGTCGTAGAGCAGCTTGTAGTCGGGCTTGGGCTTGGACGACGCCGCAATGATGCCTTGGGCAAGGTCAATGGCGCCCGCACCGCCCTCGGCAAAGTGGTTCGCCGGGATGGCGTCTTCGGCACCGGCAGCAATGGCTTCTTCACGGATGACATCGATTTCGGCCTGTGTGTCGGTAGCGAAGCGGTTGATTGCTACCACGACGGGGACGCCGTATGCCTTTGCGTTCTCAATGTGCTTCTTCAGGTTTACGCAGCCAGCACGGAGAATGTCAATGTTCTCGGTACGGTAGACCTCGGGAAGCTGAGAACCCGGGCTGATATCGGGACCGCCGCCGTGGTTCTTGAGCGCTCGCACAGTGGCAACAATAACAACTGTGTCGGGCACAAGGCCAGACGATCGGCACTTGATGTTGAAGAAGCGCTCGCCGCCCATTGTGAAGTCGAAACCAGCTTCGGTGACGACGAAGCCGGTTTGCGCATCGTGGTCCTCGTCTGGCTCCGTACCAGCCAGCTTGAGCGCAATTCGGTCTGCGAGGACTGACGAGGCACCGATACTAATGTTTGCGAATGGGCCGGCGTGCACAAAGACGGGGGTGCCCTCAAGGGTCTGCATCATGTTGGGCTTGATAGCATCGACAAGCAGAGCAGTCAAGGCACCGCCTGCGCCAATGTCGTCGCAAGTGACTGGGTCGCCAGCGCGGGAGCTGGCCACGACCATGCGGCCCAGGCGCTCGCGGAGGTCTGCGAGGTCTTTGCTGAGAGCAAGAATGGCCATGCACTCACTGGCAACCGAAATGTCGAAGCCAGTCTCACGAGTCTGACCCTTTTCAGTTGGTGCTTGACCCACGGTGATCTTACGCAGGTGCCTGTCGTTGACATCGAGTACGCGTCTCCAGGTAATCGTCTCGGGGTCAATGTCTAGCCTTGCAAACTTGGCAATCTCCTCTTCCGTCAGATCATCTGGGTTCGTCTTGTCGATACCAAGCTTCTTGAGACGACGGAACATGACAGGGGCAAACTCGCGCTTGCCCTTCTTAGCCGGCACCAAGCGCTTGTAGAGTGCAGCATCCTTTTGCGTGTTCTCGTGGAACATGCGCGTCTCAATAGCAGCAGCGAGCAAGTTGTTCGCGGCAGTGATGGCGTGGATGTCGCCAGTGAGATGGAGGTTGAACTGGTCCATGGGAATGACCTGGCTGTATCCTCCACCAGCGGCACCACCCTTGATACCAAAGGTGGGCCCCATACTGGGCTGTCGCACGTTGGCAAAGCATATCCTGCCAAGGTGTGCGCCCAGAGCCTGTGCTACACCGATTGTGGTTGTCGACTTGCCCTCTCCAAGAGGCGTGGGGGTAATACCAGCGATAAGAATGTACCGGCCGTTCCGGCGGTGCTCGAGACGCTTCAGCAGAGACAGATCCACCTTGGCCTTTGTCGCACCATATGGCTCCAGCTCGTGAGGCAGAATTCCCACCTCCTTTGCGACAGCCGTGATCTGCTTTGGGTGTTGCTTCCGCGAGATGGCAATGTCAGAGGGTATGGGGTCTTCAATCTTGATTGGAAGAGGCGAGATTTTGCGCTTCTTCTCTCGGTCAAAGGTCGCGTCGGCTGAGTCGACAAGGTTCTGCAGGAGCATGGCAATGGTCATGGGGCCGACGCCTCCCGGTACCGGCGTGATGTGCGATGCAACTTCGACGGCTGAGTCGTAGTCAACGTCTCCCACCAGCCTTTGACCGCTCTTCTTGGTCTCGTCTGGGATGAAGTTTGTGCCCACATCGATGACGACGGCGCCAGGCTTAAGCCAGTCTCCCTTGACAAACTGGGCCTTGCCAATGGCAGCAACGACAATGTCTGCGCGACGAACAACCTCTGGCAGATCGCTTGTCCTCGAATGGCACACGGTGACGGTCGCGTCGGCGTTCTTCAGCAGATAGCTGACGGGGCTGCCCACAATGTCGCTGCGGCCCAGCACAACGGCGTTCTTGCCTTTGATGTCAATACCAGCCTCCTGCAGCAGCACCATGACACCCTTGGGGGTGCATGGGGTGAAGAGCGGCTTGCCGCCACGCTTGGCCAGCTCGCCAATGCTCTGGATGCCGAAGCCATCGACGTCCTTTTCGTCAGCAACGGCCGATGTGATGGTGTGCTCGGAGATGTGCTTGGGGAGGGGCAGCTGGACGAGGATGCCGTGAACGCTGGGGTCGTTGTTGAACTCGGAGATTTTGTACAGCAGATCAGCCTCGCTGATATCCTCCGTCAGGTGCACCAGCTCGCAGTCGATGTTGGCCTCCTCGGCGGCCTTGAGCTTCATGCGCACATAGGTGCTCGAGTCGGATCTGTCGCCCACTATCGCGTGTCAGCATGGCGTACGCTTCAAGGCGCCTCAATGGCCTGCCACTTACCCTGGACAATTTTCAGGCTGGGTCTGTAACGCGGGTTCTGCGCCTGCTTCTCCTTGATCTTGGCACCCAGCCGCTCGCGGATGCTCTTTGCAATGGCGGTGCCGTCAATCTTCTGTCCGGCCATGGCGAAGCGGGTGCTGGAGAATTGCCTTGCACAAGAGACCGTCTTGACAGCAGTATATAGATGGCGAGGCGTGGTTGCGCACCAATATTTTCTAGGCGGGGTAGCTGTAGCCTGCGGAAAACAACGGGTGAGGGCACCAACACGTCCGCCGCACATCGGATACACTCTCATCGTCCTGTCGGAAGATTCTGCGTATCTTTTCCAAGTCTAGTGGGAATGGCGCGATGTGGTGATGCCTGCATTTCTATGTATGTTTGAAATGACTCAGTGATAGCAGTGCAAAGGCCCGGAAAAAGTTCAAAGCTTGCCCGCCGCCAAACTTTCTTCTCTGCGACTCGCGTGTGCTGCAAATTACGTACAGTCGGGGTCCCAAGTCGAAATAGGGAAACTATGCAACGCGACTCTAGTGTGCAGCCTGGCCGAGCAACTCGTTATCCAGACCAATCATGCTTTGGCGCTTGCATCTAGCACTGCTGCTGCTGTCCGGCCATCCCCACACAGCCCGAGCAGGGTATCGTGTCCTAACTGGGGACTATCCAGAGCGCCTCCCGCAGTTCTAACTCCGGCAATTCTCCATCAATACTCCGTACATGACAAACATCTGCTCGGCCATAGGCTTCAGACGCTCTGCTTGTTCTGGCTCACAGAACCGGGCGAACCTGTCCGGGTGCCAGAGGTTGCGACCCTCCTTGAGCCATTCGTAAGAAACCTTACCGGAGCCCTGCAGCAAGACAAACAAATCATGGATGCAAATTCCCAACGAGCATGCATCTTGCTTTTGCAGCCTGCACTCGTCCCTGGCGCACTCATTAACATAGCTTGTCATCATCGGAAAATCGCGCATCTCTCCAGGTATGAGCAGCCTCTCGAGATCTTCCATGAACTGGGCATATGCTGCCTTGGAGTCGGTGTGGACCTTGCCATCGCCAAACTCAAGCCAAGAGCCATGTACCCAGCCTCTGACGCCTCTCTTGATGACGGCAATATGCCAGTTGCGGCCCATTTCTCGTAATACTTTAATCTTCTCTCCCTTGCTCAGTTCCAACTCGCGTGCATCATTATGATGAGGACGGCCCGACCTCTCGCTGGTTGCCCACTTGAAGGAGACAGTTCCCTGCTTGACGGTCATAAGCTGAGTGTTTTGGTCCGGAAGAGTAATGTTGTCTTTGTCCAAGGGATGCGAAGGTAGCACGGGGTCAGGACCATGGTCAGAACTATGATCAGAACTATGGTCAGAACTATGGTCAGGAACCGAAGACGACGGAGAAGGGTCTTTGGCTGCTGTGTCGAAGCCCTGTATGATGTTGGAATGCATGGGCTCTTCCTCGAAATGGACGATGAAAGGGGCTTCATGGCCAGGAGATTGATTTCTAATAAATGCAAAGGTTTCTCCCCGTTGCGAGTATGGGCTAATCGCGACGTACTGCACACGTTAGCGGTGGAATGTTGATGAGTACGTAGTGCTTACTGCAAGATGCTCCACTGTACTGCGCATCTGCTCGTCTCGGCTTTGGCCTTTCCACATTCCGTTCCATGCGATTTGCATAGGCTTTGCTTGGAAGTTCCAAAAATGACGGTTGCCGGTTTTGATGTAAAAGGAGCCCTTTGAATGCCACTGCAAATTGTCTAGCGTACTGTCAGTGAACCGACCCTTGGTAACATGATCCGTCGCGTATGAGTGTGAACTGATTTCGCGTCTAGAAGACTGTTAGCCACGTGGGAATATGTGCCAGAGCCTAGTTTACTTGCAACTTGAGATCAAGCTCGTTCGGAACATTCGAGCTGACCCAATCTTTGTCTGACCACGCGACAAAAGAATTGTTGGCGCCAAACTGTACTCTGAAGCCAGCCATAAGAGTTTCCGATTTCCTAAGGTCCCCGATAAACGAACGTAACCCTTGTGGAACATTTGGGCCAATACTGAAGGCGGGTCTTCCGTCACTCCGCTGATACCTAAAGAAGAATGAATCGAGGTTGCAGCCGTAGGAAACCCATATGAACTTTTTAATGCTCCCAGTGATGGTGTCATTGAGCAGCAATGGTGGTATGTAGGTGCTAGGCCACGGTCAGCTGGGCGCGACTGCATTTCGAATCTGATATCTGCTCTCACACTCTGTAACCGTTGGAGTTGGCAATGAACTGCTCGCTACCCGATCCCAGGGCTATAATGTACTGGTTGGGTTCCAAACGCTCGAGTCTGTCCAGTGCAACTGAAATGGTAGTGTCGGGTAAAACGGAAGACATATTTGACTTGGAAATGATGGGCCACTAACACTGACGCTTTGAAGGAGTATTGTGCTGCCGCCTCTGGCTCGCTAAGGGCGATCGATCAATGTAATGAGCCGTCTTGTTGTTATGCGAACATGGCAGTCGAAAGTCGGGGTAGGAGCGTGTTTGCGCCAAGACTGCGCGCACTGCAAACGGAAAGTGCCACGTTCATTATCAGTGAATGGGGACCAGTGAATGGAGGAAATTCCATTGCAGATGGGATTCAAGATAGCATTAGTGAAGGGGCCTAGATTTAATAATTGTAAAATCCAAGACAGGTCAAGCATGGAAGTGCCTAACAGCGCAGGGAACGTGTTGGAGATGTCACCCTGATTGCCTTTACTTTAGCACTTGACGATAAAAAGAGTCATGAAAGAAAACTAACGTGCTGAATAAAGTTAGAAGACTCGTAGAAAAGCATTGAAGAAAAGAGCACTTGCAAGAAGAAGAGAGAGTAGCCGAAAAGACGGGGCGAGCGAGCACAGTAGAGCTCGGTGGATTTGCCACCGATACACTGCTCCAAGAACACTTGAGCATGTGAAGAGACATGACTGTCACGATTAGCCATTTATGAGTCACAGAAACACCTTCACCTAGGTGCCTTGGATCCCTTGCTGCTGTGCACTGTGCCATTCAGTCTCATGAAGGAACACAGTGGATACTTCTTTGGCTTGTCCTCAACCCTGCTCACAAACCAATAGCAGCAGTCCTCAGCAAGTCCTGTCAAGATGACGAGAGTGGATTGAGATGTCGGAGTCATCAATGGTGGTGATGTGCAGCCGTTCACGCTCGAGGCACGAATGCGGGATGAAGCACGCTAGCCGGGTTAGTGCCAAGCAGCCCACTTCGCCCGCCGAACGTCGATATGCACAAGAGTCACCCGAAATTCAGAGACGCCGCCTGCACCATATAAGCCGACACACCCACCCCGCCGCCGCACGCACACACCGCAGCCATGAAGCCGATTCTTCTCTCGGGTCACGAGCGCGCTCTCACGCAGGTCAAGGTACACATGCGCGACGCATAGCGGAGGGGCGAGAAGACGCTGACGAGGGACAGTACAATGCCGATGGCGACATCATTTTCTCCGTCTCCAAGGTACGAAGACCCGCTATCCTTGGGGTTTCAGGACGCTAATATTTTTTAGGATCATGTTGTCTGCGCTTGGTGTTAGTTACGTCCACACGGAAAACGGGAATTGAGACTGATGCCGTATAGATTCACACAACGGCGAGCGGTTAGGCACATACCACGGACACCAGGGAGCGCTATGGACCGTCGACGTGAACCCCTCGACCGAGTTGCTGGCCACGGGTGGTGCGGATAACACGATGCGGTTATGGCATGTGCAGACTGGCAAGCTTCTGCACACGTGGGAGTTCAACACCAGTATCAAGCGCTGCGAGTTCTCGCCCGACGGCAGGCAGTTACTCGGTGTTACCGAGAAGCGATCAGGGCACCTCTCGACCATCTGCGTCTACCCAATCAACCCCGACCCCGAGGCGCAACAATCCGACGAGCAGCTGCTGAGGATTGTGTGCGACGAATCCAAGGCGACGGTCGCAGGCTTCTCGTACCTTGCCAAATACATCATCAGTGGACACGAGGACGGCTCAATCACTCAATGGGACGGCAAGACGGGAGAACTGCTTAGCTCCAACTACGACGCTCACGAGCCAGACATGCAAATCAGTCAGTGCCTCTGTACGTTCGTCCAGCACAAGAAACTAACAACCTCCAGCCGACATTCAGTGGGCACCCGACAGGTCGTACTTCATCACCGCAAGCAAGGACAAGACGGCAAAGGTATACCCAGAACCCTAGCCCACTTTGACCAGGCTGACACATGGTAGCTCGTTGATGTGGAGGACCTGACTGTCCTCAAGTCATACGTCGCCGACACACCGCTCAACTCGGCCGCAATCACACCCGTCAAGGACTACGTTATTCTCGGTGGAGGACAAGCCGCCATGGACGTCACGACTACCTCGGCACGCCAAGGAAAGTTCGAGGCCCGCTTCTACCACAAGATCTTCATGGAGGAGATTGGGCGCGTGCGTGGCCACTTTGGTCCCCTCAACTATGTCGCCGTGCACCCGCAAGGCACCAGCTACTGCAGTGGAGGAGAAGACGGATACGTGCGTGTACACCACTTTGACAAGCCGTACTTTGACTTCATGTACGAGGTTGAGCGCGAGGCTGAGCGCGAGGCCGCGCAGGCGAACTTGTAATGTATGGTTTCTCGGACATGAAGGATGCGGGCGATACGAATCGATATGGCTGCATACATGCAACGGCGTTCCGGTGGTTGAGTGGGTGCTCGTCGAATTCTGACGGGCCTTTGTCAAAAAGTTCATGAGCTATCGGGGCGTGTAGAGACGCGATGCAAGCATCGGGTGCAAACGCTCATCAATGAAGACTTGGCATAGAGAATACATGTTCATATATGCTTCAGCAATGTCCCGCCCCAAGCGCCAGTGCCTGTCCACGAGAAAGGAGCAGACACCCGAGCATTAGGTCAATAGTACAAGAAAAGAGCTTGAGACGGGTGGGCAGTTGATCTCCCTGCTTATGACAAACGAGTCCATCATGGAGAAGGAAGGACGACGTATACTGAAGAGGTTGTTGAGCGCACACCATGGTGCTCGTGGTCAAAACAAATTTTTCTGAGCTGTTCGCGCTCAGCGCCGCATACTTGTCGTGCGGTGCACTACTGCCTAACCTGCGCATCATTTCGCAGCAGCGGCTGAGTGTATACGAGTTGCGACGCGCCACGAGCGTCTCGTGTCTCGTGTCAGCTGTGGCAATGCGCCACGGTTGTTTGGTGAAGAAGGGCAGAGGGCGGAGGAAGGGCTCAGGTGCAGACGTGGAAGCTTCGAGAGGCCCTGACCTAAGCGAGACTAGCGCGTGGCGGTGACCTCACCCGGCGCTTCGACTCATCGCGCCTCATATTGCTTTGGGCCTCTACATAAGCAAAACGTCGCCCACCTTATTTGGAAATCCGGAATACCCATCCTCCCGCCCTTCACCTTGCTCGCCGTTTGCCGCTTCACCGGGCAGGAAATAGACGCCAGACACGACAGGCTAAACCCCGCTCTGTGCCTCGACACCGCTGCAACCTTCCACATCACCCTCAACTCCTCTACGCACCAAAATGTCTGACGACTGGAACTCCGTTACCAAGATTGGCAGCCGCGTCCGTGGCGGCGCTGCTGGTCCTCGCGAGACTGTAGTCAAGGGCAAGTCAGCCCTGAACGCAGCCCAACGAAGCGGTGGAATCATTGCCACAGAGAAGAAGTATGCCTCAGCCAACGCTGTAAGTAGCCCTGAGACCTCCGACTTGGACGAAACTCTGTATCAAACAAACTAACAGGCAAATGACAGGGTGCTTCATCAGAAGGTCAGCGCCTTACAAAGGTCGACCGCTCCGACGACATTGTCAAGCCCAAGACGGTTGGTACCGTCGTCGGTCAGGCTATCTCAAAGGCGCGCTCCGAGGCGAAGAATGACAAGGGCACCACGATGACACAGAAGGACTTGGCCACCAAGTGCAATAGCACACCCACCATCATCGCAGACTTTGAGCGTGGCACTGCCGCACCGGATCAGAAGCTGCTGGCAAACATGGAGCGCGTGCTCAATGTCATCCTGCGGGGTGACAAGATTGGGCAGCCCAAGTTCCCAAACAAGAAGAAATGAGCACCTCTCTGCATTGGCCACGGCTTGCACGCTGGAATGCGGACAGGCTGTGGTTGGCAGTAGATTTTTTCCACGTAGCTTTGGCTACAATAGGTCTCTGGATTAGCGGGCTTGGGAGGGCGTTTGATGGATATCACGGTATAACTCCCCATGATGGGAAGCGTCTCATAGCTTTGGCCTCGCTTGTACTGCACAGGCCTCGATAGCTCATGCCGAGTGGCAGTGGACGCGAATAAAATCCACGATTATTAAATCAGTTTATTTCAATGCTGCCATATAGGCCTGACGTCATGTTATTGAATGCGACGATGAGTTCGGAAAGGGTATGCGCCCATGCATTCGCGAGCCCGATTTAGCAATGTGTCCAGATGGTGCCGAGAATTGGTCAATCAAACATGTCCATAGTACGTGTCTGACTAGGCCTCGGTACGGAGGTGCCTTTCAAAAGTATTGTCTGCCAAGAATAATCTAACCGAAGTGCGGCCGCCTTAGCCAAGGCTTGTCTCTCCCCTCTATGTACTTATTACTACTTTGTAGCTTAATTATCTTTTAAATATGTACAAGAATTCGCTTAATCTAAGCTTAGATCTTAAGTTATAAGAGATCTCTCTAGCAGTTCTGCTAGACTCTAACTGCCTTAGCCCTTGACTGTGGAGCTCCTTTCTTTGTAGTCTCTCTTTTTATATAGAACTAGCATAGCTTAATGTAGTTATAGTCTAGCGAGTTTCCACACTAAAGTAGTCTCTTAACGTCGTATAGGCGATAGATTACACCCTAATAGTAGTGGGCGTGGCTAGGTGCCTTATCCTCTATTAGGACAGTCCAAGGTCTATCTTAGAGGCACTCTTTAGCAAAAGGAATTAGCTTTAGAATTAGAACGCAGGCCTAATATCTCTACTAGTCTATACCACCTCTAGACTTATGCATTAGCTTACCTGTCTTCTCTATCTATCTCTATTAAGGCTTCCTGCTACGCTTATTGCGTAGCCCTGTCCTTCTTATAGACTCTAACAGCTCCTATTCCTCTCGCTATAGAAGCTTAAGCTTAGCGTTTAGCTGCTTAATCTAATAAGCAGCATCCTCTCTCTCTACCTTCGTCTCTAGCTAGTAGATATAGCATAGACCTTTTTTGTTATACGAGAAGCAGCCCTAGAATATAAACTTAGAGTATCCCTTCTACCTCTTATAGATGCAGCTCTTAACTACCCTCTTGTCTGCCTTTCTCTAGACTCTATAGCCCCTACGTTAGTAGTTGATCACTACTAACGTCTCATCTGTCTAGATAACATTCTTCTAGTCCTCTAACGTCTAGTCCTTATGCTCTAATGCCTACTTAAGACAAGCACTCCTTATCTCTTATATTAACTTAGGCTTCCTTGTTAGCTTAGTCTTTTTATATCCTGCTGCTCTTAACACCCTCTAGATAGTAGAGGTAGAGATTTTAACTTCTTAGAGACTAAGCCCACTAGCAAGGTTAGCATAGCTCTTCTCTTGTCTGTTACACGGGGTTGGGTGCTGATACTTCTCTAAGCTCGATCCGGGTTAGGGCGAGTGAGATGGTGTGAAGAGCGCCGTGAGGTGGTTGTCTAGCGATGCAGTGGAGTGGGCGTGCTTGTAAGATAGATAACAAAAGGTTTGACAATTCCTAATCTATATTGAATAGATTAACGAGTATTAATCTTGTGAAGTTGAGTAACTAGTAAGAAAGTACAATTTGAGTTGACCACAACGAGAGTAATAATGAAATCCATCCATCCTTATATCCTCATTGCTTCCAGTCCTGCCATCAGAACTTCGACCTGCCATCACTGATGGTTGTCTCCACTTCTGATAGCTGCCATCACATGCGGGTCCTGCCATCACTAATGGCACCGTCTTAGCGTGATGGCACATCACGTGACTTGACCCCGCACGTCCA